AAGGGAAGGCTGGGAAAAAACAACAACTACTTAAGATTCAAACCGAAACCTTCCAGACATTCATAAGAGACAGTTATTTTGTGCGCACAGTGCGTCTCTCTTATCCTGGGATCTTTTACTCAACATCAGGTGTGAGAGATGACTTGGTATTCTACATGTATAAAGTTTACCTTGGGAAGAAGCTTTCCACTCTTTAGCTGAAATGAATTCATTGTTTAAAGCTGAGAGAAAACGCTCAGTTATGTGTATCTAATTTCATAAAGAACGCTGCAGATGGGGGATTAGGTACCGGATTTGTTCTAAAATCATCAATTTACAGCAAGTGGCGGTCCAAATAGATACTTTGTATTCCTTACAACAGAGTACATCGTTCACAGAGCTCAAGCCCTCGGCCTCCCACACGCTTCTCACATTTGAAACGAACTGTGGTTAAACTCCTGACACTCTCACTTCTTCTTTTCTTAAAGAGCCAATGATCTCGTCTTAGCGTGCCACTACTAAATTCAAAACTGGCGCTTTTTTTTTTTTCTCATTTTGGCGGCACCTGTGAATCAACACTTTGTGCTTTTGCAAAAACCGCATCTTCCTGTCTGCCAACACCCAAAGTACGTACAGTGAACTGTTTGTGCCATGCGGACCCCCACCCTACTTTTGACGACGTGAGAAGATCAGATAACGCTCCGACGTGTGTTTTTGTCAAATAGAGATCTGCAGATGAGTTATGTAAGTCTGGCCTTGTTTGTTTTGGCAACTTTATGAGATGAACGTTAAACAAATCTATGACTTTTATTGACTTTTCAGCATCCAGTAATTTGCAGTCAAAAGGTCTGTGGCACAGTTTCTGTTGGCCCGCAGCTATCATATGAATATTCTCATTTTCCAAAAAAAAAGACAAAAATGACTGTCAGCTGGCTAATTAGAGTCCCAACTGACACATCTGCTGAACAGGCAACAGTTTATCATCATTAGGTTGGGGGGGATGAGTTTTTGAAGTGAGAACTTTCCTGCATTTGTCAAAAACTATTTTTTTTTTTTAAAACTATGCAGTTGATGTCCACTTAGTTCTTCTGTGGGGCAGTAGAAGCCTCATCCCATAGAAGCCTCATCCCATATCTAACAGTCGTCTTTGTCCACTTCTAGCTGCCAGTGAAGGTGGAGCAAATGTCTTCACCGTGTCCTACTTTAAAACCAGCGCCTACCTGGCCCAGTCTCCCCAGCTATACAAGCAGATGTGCATCTGTGCTGACTTTGACAAGGTCTTCTGTGTGGGTCCAGGTAAGAATGCCTCCCGACTGTCCACTCACACGTTTCCATTCACTTATGGCAAACGGCTTCACGAGCGGCAGGAGTGTCGTGAAAGCCGTAGACCCTATTAACTGAGATGACAGTCTGAAAATGGCTGCAAACGCTTTTTGGATTGTTAAACTTTAACAGACCTCCCTCTGTTGCTCTCACTGTGGTCAGAGCCGCTCTGGAGCTTAGTGTGTTAGTGACACAATGGGAGTCGTAAAAAAAGACTTTATGGCGCTGTACTGAGTTTTAAGAGACCCCGAGTTCTTTAGGTAAGCAAACACTGCCACCATCTGATTGAATACATACATCATGCAACGAAACATCCTGCATTGAATACAAAACATGCTGTTCACAGTCTTCCATTTTAAATTTGCTGCTTGCTCCTGATTTCACGGCGGAACACAATTCCACCACCGAGATCAATAAAACATTTGAGAAGAAGGGGTGCTCGCTCATTCCGTATTCTACATACCGGACTGAGGTCTTTTGTTTGCTTGGCGGTGAGCTCCACCGGAGAAATCAAAGGGCTTAAGGTCATCTCTGCTTCAAAGCAGCAACAATGTGCTCACCACTGTTGCCTTAGTTACAGTCGCACCAATTCTGCAAGGAAGGATAATTTTGATCAGCTCTCCTCGGCCAGAAGTACTGTTTGTTTTAAATGTTCACATCTGTGGTGCCACTATCTGGAATCGGCTAAAGACGTTCCATCACAGAACAAACAGGATGTCCTGTTAGTTATGTCTGGAGTTTTTACTCTTTTCTGTTAATGTATGCCGGAGTCATTCAACTGTGCAGGATGTAGATAAAACTCTGTATGCAAAAGCAGAAGTATGTATGTATATAAAGCCATACATATGCATGGCTGTGTTTTATAGCTCTCGATCATTGTGACACTGTATGCGTGTGCACATACCTGATTTCCACACCGTTCGGCCTTATGCGGGATGTAGACACACCCTTAAATCAACTGCTTGCATGCAGACTGCTCCACCTGTCTAAAGACCTGTAATTTAAAAGACCAGACGAGCTCAATGTCTCATTAGTAAGCCGACATTGACTCTGTACAACCATAATGCACAACTCTGGCTAATTATATGTAGTTCTCACGATGTCATCAATTCATCGTACCTGCACTCAGTGTTTCTCGCACTCATCGCACAGTTAGCAAAGTTATTCACTTTTCTCTTTTCCCTCTCTCCGCTTGCACCTGAAACAAAATAGTGAATCGTGCTTCAATGGAGCACAAAGCATTGATTAGCACACTGTGCTAATTCCGTAATGAGGCTGAATAAAATGCCGTTTCACTTGAAGATGTGCTGCGACCTACCACTTCTCCTCCACTTCCATTTACTTTGTTTGGACGTTGAACATTGAATCTGCATCGTATCAGTTTTCAGGGCCGAGGACTCCAACACCCACCGTCACTTGACTGAGTTTGTGGGTCTGGATATCGAGATGGCCTTCAGCTACCATTACCACGAAGTGATTGACTCCATCACTGACACCATGGTGCAGATCTTCAAAGGCCTGAGAGACAAGTGAGATGAGGATTCATACAGTAAAGCTCTCAGACTAATAGGGGTGTAATATTTTTGTTTTGTTACTTCCACTGTGCTATTTGCTTTACTGAAACTTTTTGTGTCGGCTGAGGTGAGGGGCCAACTGCACCAGAAATTGATGCAAATTACATAGAATAGAGGCTCAAGTCTTGTTTTCCTACTCGACACAAGAGGTGAATTTTGAATGGATAAATTCCTGGAGAGGATCACAAAATCAAATATTGTGGGTTTTTTTAGCTGTTGAATCCATATGAAGTGTGGTCACCCAGTGCTGTTGGTGTATATCAGTTGATGTGGCGTCATTGCCTCCTAGTGGTGTGAATCAGTGCAGCATGTCTAGAGAGCTGTTAAAGCGGAAGACACGGATAAATATAAACTAGTGGTTAAAGCTCTTCTGGCATGCACCTTTATTTTTTATTTTTCATCCCACCATCACTGCAGCACTGCTGAAGAACAGCATTGACTAGATATGGCACCGAGCAAAGATGGCTTATTCTGTGTTTTAGTGCCAGTTTATCGTTACCCATTTAGTTTTCTGCACCTTTACTTGTTAGATTTTTGTCCCGTAAAGCAGTTGGCATGATTGGAAGACAAACATTGAGGGAAATGTGGCTGATGTGCTGGAACATTTATTTAGTGAAGAAGAAGGTGGTTTGATGTGTGCGTGCCTGTCTTCATCAGCTTCCAGACAGAGATCCAGATGGTGAACAAGCAGTTCCCCAGTGAGCCTTTCAAATTCCTGGAGCCCACTCTGAGGCTGGAGTACACCGAGGGCTTGGCCATGCTGCACGAGGCCGGGGTGGAGATGGGTGACGAGGAGGACCTCAGGTCAGAATACATCTCACGCCCTGTGTCCCACATCCCACTCATTTTGTCAGATGATTTAAGTTGATAAAAGCGGAAATAGACACGAGATTGAAGTGAGGAAGTAAAACATCATACTAATAACTCAGCAATATTTCTTGGCCTTTCTCTGTGTAACACTTTTTGTTATGCTATTGGTGTAAAACCACTACAAGATAAATACATCATTTTATATTGTTCACTTTCAGGCATGTTACGGCAAAACAATGTGACGCAATAAGATCAAGTCACCAGTTTTGAAGTTTGTCCTTTTGGTTGTTCTCTAGTACGCCCAATGAAAAGCTGCTTGGACGTCTCGTCAAGGAAAAGGTATGCTGAAATGTTTTCATTCAGATCATTGTCATGGTTGATCCACAGGTATCTGTTGAATCCAAAATCAGGCTTTTAAAACCTTTTCTCCCCCCCCCCCCTTAGTATGATACTGACTTCTATGTGCTGGATAAGTACCCACTGGCTGTTAGACCCTTCTACACGATGCCTGATCCAAACAACCCTGTAAGTCTCTCACCTACTCATACACACAAACAGTACACACACACACACAGTTATTGGCTACATAGTAAGAAATGTGCCGTGACAAATGTTATGTAAATGTTTGCGAATTAGAATATTTTTCGGTTAAACTTGCATTCCTGCCAGAGAGCATCTTTAGACTAGCCAAAGACTCCTCCGCAGCCTGCCCAGCCAGCTGACTGAAAAACAATACACAATTTTGCTGCAGAAGTAAAAGACACTGCAGTGTAGTCATGAAGAATTTAACTTAAGTACCAATAGACATTTTTACAGCATCACGAGAAACCTGCTGGCAGTGTCGCAGAAAAGCCACTGTGCTGCACCAAACAGTATGTGGAAAAAGTCCACATCTGGCTTGTCGTACCAAAGATTTGACTGTTTGACGACTTTAAAATGTTTCTGGAGTTCTGTACCACTGAGGTCTCGTGCTGATCCAGACTGTAGCGCTGTCAACTTGCAGTGCTTCTTTCAACTTTCAAAGTCTTCCTGTATTGTCTGTCTCTCTTTTAAAAAAATCTTGACCCTTATAAGTGACATATCTTTTTGTTTTTGGCCAGAAATACTCCAACTCATATGATATGTTCATGAGGGGCGAGGAGATCCTGTCTGGAGCTCAGAGAGTGCACGATGCTCAGTTGCTGACTGACAGGGCCGTCCATCACCAGATTGGTAAGAGTAGTGTGTAGAGATGAAGCTGCATTAAGTGATTTACATGTCATTTCTGTCTCCCTCTATTGGTGACCAGTGTGAATTACAACAACAGGAAATGTGTTAGATCAGCGGTCTGTAAAAAATACAGTTTCTTTAGCAACCTCTTTGTTTTTGTGATACTACAGATCTGGAGAAGATCAAGGCATACATCGACTCCTTCCGGTATGGAGCTCCACCACATGGCGGTGGAGGCATCGGTAAGGAATATCAGTTTTTTGTGCAACACACACACAGGAGACAGAACTTTTTTTTTTTTCTCTTTCATTGAACACCTGCATTCAAATAATATACTATATGTGACTGAACTGTCATGTCTTCCAGGACTGGAGAGGGTCTGCATGCTGTACCTGGGTCTCCACAACATCCGTCAAACCTCCATGTTCCCACGTGACCCGAAGCGCCTGACCCCTTGAGCGCTAAACAACCTTTAGACGAAGCAGATGCTGGTGACGGGAAAACCATACTAATCTACAATCCAGAGAGGGGGAGAATATAGGAGCTAGTGCCACCCTATGACTTTAACGTGCCACTATGATTAACCATTAAGATGAGAGAATGACGCATCTGCAACAGTAGGGTGTACTTTATTGACTGTCTATCAACAGCAAATAACAGAGAAAAGGGAGTTAGTAAGGGTTATTACTGAAGTTCCTGTAAAGGTGCTCATACGTAAACCTTCTTTTAATCGAGTCACTGTTTGTCTACGTTCTTTTCTATGGAGATGTTTAGAAAAAAAAAAACTACCATACTACAGATCTGAGTCCCTCCTACTACCAGCACAGACTAAGTACTAATGCACTATGCCTGTAACTACAGGTGTTTTGTACGTCATCAGAGGACTAAACACAAATAATAAAAACTTCTGAAGCCATCAATTACTTTTTTGCTATTTTTTTGTATGTTTTTCGTGTGAACTGCCTCTGAATTCAACACAGATGACATCTGATAAAAGTAATAGTTTACAGAGTAATGCATTTTATAACCGTGCACATTTATGTCCATTCCAGTGTATACTCAATGTAATATCTCTTGGCTACATGACGCACGCATGATCTACTAAAATAACACTTAACAATAACGCAGGCAAGACAATATATGAAATAACACCCATACATATGCTTTAGTTTCTCTCATTCACATTTGGGGAGGTGAAAGACTGATTCACACAGTGCGAGAATAAAAGTGCTCCGACATTAGTGTTACTGACATTAAAAAAATAAACACATATAATTAAATAGCTTGAAACATTGATAGCTGGTATTGAAACATCCTTAGTGATAATTGTTTACATAGAGCATTCTGGTTAATGTCAATCAATTTCCTGCAAGTAGAAACTTGCAGACTACAAGCTCCAACCCATGGGCTTATTCAGTAGCAGAGCCACTGACCTGAAGGATGAAGAGAAAGATGTGAACAATGTCAATATAGAGAGAGAGGGCTCCGTAGATGTACTCCTCTGGGCTGATGGACAACTCCCGATTCCCAATAAGAAGCTGGGTGTTGTATACTAAAAACTAACAGAGAAGAGATGGGACAGTTATAAAAATAATGAATATACATTTGTTATGTGCAAGATAGGGAGGAGATACACACAACAGCTGGCAATACATACTTATTTTCTTGTTAACCTCAAACAGTCACAAGCACTAAGCACATCCGTGTTTTGAGCTAAGTGCTAATATGCTAATATTTACTCTGTTCCCCATCTAAGCATGTACGCTTACTTATTTTCTAGTATACAAAGTACACCTGAGGCTGATGGGAGTGTCATTATTTTCATAGGTGATTGTCCATAAACTATAGTATTAGATATGTCAAAAAAGGACATGTGCAAGAGAAAAAGTCAGAGGATCACCGAAGTTATTACAAGTCATTATGAGGATAACATGAATGTCACAGCAACACATCCATTTCACTCAAAACTACCACTACTGTGAACCTCTTGGTGGGGGTAAAACACACGTCAAGGGACCATCGCAGCCATTTAGATACATCTTCTGAGAATTTTGAATATCTTTTGATGCCAACCCATCGACTGGATGTTGAGTTTTATTGGATCTAAGGCTCTAGAAATATCAAATGATCCGCATGCTGTTAGGTCTAGCAAACATTTATGTATTTCAGGTGTTGGGAGCATTAAGCCTCTTGCTATTTAACAATAACCTTATAATAAATACCAGGCTCACATGCTCTCCTTAAATTCATGTGAGCGTAGACTCACCAGAGTGTAAACGATAGCTCCAATTGCGGCGTAGAGCATATGCAGCCAAGGGACCTGTTGAGTGACATAAGAAAGGCCTCTGAATGTAAAATCAGATGCAGTATATACACTCTACTGAGCTTCTACTTCTCACACTGAGAAACACGAGTAGAGAGAATAAAATGAAAGAATTCAACAAAAGAGTCCTCACGTATTGGAAGGAGAGGACGATAGCCGTAACAATCCCTATGATCATGAGCACAACGGAAGCAATGCAGAGAAGTCCCCCGCAGGAGGTGAAGTCCACCTGTAGTGAGAAACAAGTCATCAACGGGATGAAAGGGAAGCTAATATGCTTGAAGCAGCATGAAAGAGCAGTCTTTATAATTTGAAAGAGGATCAGAATTAGGTGAAGGAAAAATAAACGTTGGGTGGATGTGTAATGCACCAGCAAAAAAATGTTACTTATTCGTCTCGAGTTGCATCAGACAGAGAAGTTGGATGCACATCTTATCCCAAAATGTCGATAAATATTTAAAGGAACTCGGTGCCCCATTGTAATGCGAGACAAAGGCGTTCTTTCACACTGAAAACAAAGACATCCTCTGACAAGCCACGGCCTACCGAGCTCCAGAGAGACACAGTTTACATCTGCATCTACCTTGGTTTGGAAGCAGAAGATTGTGACAGCGATGCACACTAATGCGGTTATTCCCATGGCGAGAAACACCGCCTTTGTTTCATAATAGCTGTAAAAGAGACATATAATGATTAAAACAAAAACTAGCAATATCACATAGTGTAATGCATCATCATCAAAATGTACAGCATTTGTGTATTGTGGTGTATTGCCTGAGTTTGAGCCAAAAACTAACCTCGAAATTGTTCCAGACATGTAAGACAAGGCGAGAGTCTGCAAGATAAAACATGAAAACAATGAGTGGGTTGAAATCTTTTTCAGGTTTCCCCCCCCCCCCCCCTCTTTGTTCTGTTTTGCTTTATTATTCCACTCACTCCTCATAACATGTTCTCAGTTTGGCCATATGGATCTGGTGGATCATACCCAATATTGCCTGCTGACCCAACATCTGTAACGAAGAATACTTACAAATATTCCCAGCAGCACAAGATTCCATGGGAAACGCCTCCTGAACACAAGATGTGAGGAATATTTTAAAATGTTTACACGCTCAAGTGTGATTATGGGTTATGAATATTGATTTAAGATGTAACATTATCAGTAGAAAAAGTATTGCTAACTTATTAAAAAGGCCAGGGCCATGCTTACCTCGGCTCTTTGCAGCAGACGAGAATGCAGTAAACGATAAAATAAACCACACTATGGAGAGATAAATCACTATTATTGTTACTTTATATAACAGCATGTCATGAGAAAAATAGAAGTGAGAATATGGTTTGTTCTGGGGAGTTGCTCTGTCTATGTTTAATTGCACTGAATGTATGTTGTTGTTTTGTTCTTGGAGTGTAACTCACATAGATGCCCAGTAGATGCCAGGGTATCTGATGACGAATAGCCTCACTGGGTCACTACGAAAGCAAAGACATGAGGGATCACTCGGAGTGAAATGTTCCTCGCCCTCCATCAGATACATTAAACTCTGGAATATTAGACTGTGATGAACAGGGACACTTACACAAATGTGAAGACAGCGACAACTGAAAAGGTGACGGCAAGCTGTGCTGTTAAAATTAAGTAAACCTGCCCACAAACACAAAACCAAGCAGTTCTGTTGAGCACACAGGAAAATGTTTCAGTGCACACGGTTGCCATTGGCACTCTGAACAACAGTAAGACACGCAGTAAAAGTCTGTGTGTGACATGACCAATGATGGAAATCATTACCTTTCTAATGAAGGCATGCCGAATAGATGTGCTCTCCCACTGGGTGCTCAGAAAATCCTCCATGTCTCCTGCAGAATTGGGAACAGCAAAGTGGTAATGTATACTACTTACGGCAAGAAGCTGATTTAATGTAATGCAAGACTTGAGTATCATCTCACCAGAACCTTGGTTGGATGGAGACACTCCAGCAGACAGAGTCGGTATTGTGGTAGGCCTCCCAGACGGAGAGAAGCCAGGGGCTTCCCACATCCCCGCTTGCGGGTAGACGCCTTCCTGACCCCAGTAGCCAGGCGGACCGGGGTACATGCCCGGACTGGGGCTGTAAGATGGAGGTGGTGGAAGAGGGGAGCCATGCTGTGGCTGGTGGGGGTCGTTTCCATACTTAGGATGATGTAGTGCATCCTCGTAGGGTGGAGGATTATCAGTTTTAGACGTCATGATCTTTCCTTAAAGACAGGATAAGTGAGCTGGCATGACACAAATTGACAAGGTAAGAATACACATAACTTCCAACTCACTACTCAAGTCTGGTCTGTTTGTTATACACAGTTGTCCAATTAATTACTATGTACTTATACTTACCATCATCACAATTACTACAATTAAATCTGGTTATTATATCATTATTATATGCAAAAGCTACAACACGATTAATCCACCTTGTAAAAAAAAAAATAAAGGAACAGTCTAAATGTATGTAATATCTGCTGGAAAAAGATATGTCCGTGCACAAATAGATACAATTACCTAGTCATACTAGAAAAGTCTATAGGAGCAGAGACACAAATGAGAACATAAACCAATAAAAGGGAAGAAAGAAAAACATATTACTCACCTGGCGGTTTTAGCCTGAAATGGGATCACTGTCCTGTTCTGTCCTTTCTCTCCTTGGAGGTTTGCAGGTTAACACCACAGGTGGATGTCATCTTTGTAATGGGATATGTTCACTGAAACTTACACTGTTACTGATGTGTCTCAGAAAGCATGGTGACTCCGGTTGCTCAAGCTCCTATTCAAAATAATAAAAAAACACAAGTAAATAAACAAACCCCACAGACTGTTGTGCCCTACAAACATGTAGTATGTTAGGCAGAGTATGTAACACTACTCTCAACATTGAGTTGATTTTTTTCTTTAAGCAGTCATCCTGAGAATAGTTTTTCCAAAGGCCTATCATATATTATTTCCCCTCTCAGTAAACCCACTTCAGGCATATTACTAAACAGCCAACTATAGCTGTCTCAGAACATTGGGCATCGCTAAATTATTTAGAAGTTGACCAAAACTTGGCTCGATTCCGTATTGATGTATATACAATTAATTCAAGTGGAATTAAGTCATACAGGTAAATAGATAGTAAATGCTACTTTGAGTTGGCCTAAGGATGTGTTTTTACGGCAATGTAATTAACTTTGAATTGGAATTAAAGGTCATTATGTCACTCTTTAAGCACAAAAAGAAAGAAGTTTTTTTTCAAAATGTTTTGGAATTAACGCTATTTTCTTGTGTTGTACTATTTTCTTTTTCTTTTACTTTTTTATCTCCTCACTTCCGGGGTTGGCGTGTGTGCGTCGCGGCACGTCATTACGTCACGCTCAGAAGCTATGGCGCTTCCTGATTGGACCGGAACGCTGGTCGCCACCGCATCCTTTTGCTGTTTCTTATATGTATGTGTTCGCTACAGACGCAAAGGACAAGTCGTCTGGAGAAAATTGTTGAGCACAATAATGGCCCGGACGGAGAAGCCGCTGTTCCGAATTGCGTGAGTATGACGTGACCTTCCTTGATAAAACAAGGCACCGCGGTGATTCTCATAAGCGCAGCGGAACAACATGTACCCATTCTTATTAAGGCCGAGACACCAAAACTGTATTCAAATATGTTGCGATTTTAAGTTGCTTTGCCAGTCGACAAACGTACTCATGTTACTCCTGACAATTGTGTCACAAAATGTCACTTTGTCCACGCTATAGTTGCATATGTTTCGCTTGAGGAGGCGTGACATGGTGGTAGCACGCACCGTGTTTCCTAGCTCTCTGATATGTTTCCTAGGTACACACTCTACACTAAGACCAGACTGGGCTACATGTACTACAAGAGACAAATGAGGAAAGCCAGAGAGCATTACCCTGCTGGACACTCCACAGCCCTGCCCGTGGAGATGAATGGTATGCAGCAGTCTGGACTTTTACTGTTTACTATGTTCACAGCGTGTTGTTCATATGTTTATATATATATATATATTTGTATATAGAAGTATATGCATTTTATTACCATCAATGCAAAGGTGCCTTCATGTCAAGACAAACTAGGAGCATTATGTGTACATTTTAATACTACATATCTGCTTCTATCATTCTGAATGGGGAAAAAAGTGAAATATTGTCCTGAATACTTAATTTATATTTCTCTGTCTGCCCACAGGTATCAAAATACTTCCTATCCCGATACTGTCAGACAACTACAGCTATCTGGTAATCGACACAGCCTCCAGTGTTGCAGTTGTTATAGACCCTGCGGACCCTCAAACAGTTCAGGTGAACGCCTCTAGATATCGCCTGTCTATAAGCAGCTATCTGATCAATGTTACTATGCATATAAAGACATGTTCCTGTGCATTAACTGTAGCCGTCTTTGTTAGAAGAGGGGATAGCTTGACTTGCTGAACAACACATTCCCTCACTGACACGCCAGATATTTGCCAGATGTCATTGCAACAACATCAGGGCTAAAATAAATGGTTGCTTTGGCTCTATTTCAGTGACATTTTGTGGGTAAATCCCTCCTCTAAAGTGCAGTAAAAGATTCAATATCCATTTTACAGGTATCGTAAAATGACTCCTCAGATTTTTCCAGCATCGCTTTCAGTGCACTTCCTTTTTTGTTGCCTTACAATTATTTGAATTGTACTCCATCTATTGACTGTCGACAGCTGTGGTGAATGAACATGTTTGTGCATTCTCAGCAGCCTCCATTACAAGCGCAGAAGTAATATTATTAAAGACATACTGTGTCACTAGTCGGACATATTTTGCAGCTCGCTGGGCTTTTGAAATTGCTGCTGAAGTGTTGTTTGATAATGTGATTGAAAGTTGTGACAGATTTTGAATTTCTTTTCAGGCAGTTCTTAAGGAAGAGGGAGTGACTTTGGAAGCAATACTCTGTACACACAAGCATTGGTAAGTTTTATAGATGTTCTACATGACTGAGCTTAATGTACCACATATGACAGATTATAAAAACTATGTCAAGTGAGTAAAGGTAAACATGGTGTCGTCATGCTCACAAATCCTGCTTTCCCTATTTGAACACGTATTGGGGAACACCAACATCAATTTGAATACATTTGAAAGTTACATTTATACGTCAGATATTCTCTCCAGACTGGATCTTAAATCAAAGAGTACGTGGTTGACAAATGCCGAGTGTAGATTGAAGGCGAAAACAAACGCTCTTTGTGTTTCACCTACAGGGATCACAGTGGGGGAAACAAAGGGTTGAAAAGGATTCACAGCTCGTGCAGAGTGTATGGAAACGCAGCTGATAACATTCCTGCCCTCACGCAGTAAGTTCCTGCTTCACACAGAATTAGTCTGACTGTACTTCTGTCAGCACTAGTAGCAGCTGACTGCACGGTGCATTATCATAGTATGATAAAGTGTTCTCTTATAGCACTTTTATTTCCCTGTTCCTAGCCCCCTGTCACACAAGGACTCGGTGACAGTTGGCCGTATGCACTTTAAGGCCCTCTTCACTCCCGGACACACAGTGGGCCACATGATCTACCTCCTGGATGGCCAGGTGGTGGATGCACCCTCCAGCCTCTTTTCTGGTGACCTGGTGTTCCTCTCAGGATGTGGTGAGTTACGACACAACGGGATCCTTAGAAATAAGCATAAAGAACTGATGACGTGCTTCACAGCGCTTTGATGTAAAACACAGAAGAGACATAAAACACCTCTGTGATGCTTTCTGTTCGATGTGAAGTCATGCTACACACAACATGCGCCACTGAAGGACTGTAAGGAGGCAATGAATTGGCAGTTTAAATAAGCGACATCTGCTCGATACAGTCGGTGAAAATAAATCCGTAACGTTTGGACGATAATGGAATTCTCCAACTGACGATATTGCTTTAAGAAAAACAATAAAACTAATGATTGTCCAACACAAAGCTGAAGAGAAAGACGCGATTAGAAAAATATATTTATGGACTGGAGACACATACTGTATGCTGCAATACCCATAAGTGTCCACAACGTGGCCACAATGTAAAGGCAGTAAGCACTACTTCACACAAGAACATGCTGAGATCAATCAGCTGGTAGAAACTGCCCTTGCACAGTCTTAAGTCCGTTTATATTGTGTTGCTTTTCCAAAAGCCCCAATGATTGAGGGTTGATTGCTCACCATGACATCACTCACTGGCAGACTTGTTCTTTTGGATCGTGAGTTTTAAGATTGAAGCGGAGATTTGTGGTGTTTCCATCTTTAGTCCTGACTTGTTTATCGCACAGCTTACAATCACATTCTCAGGCTCTCCTTTATGTTTGCTGCTTACACACACACACACACACACACACACACACACACACACACACACACACACACACACACACACACAAAGAGCACCTAGCCCCTCCACATGCACTCAAGAGCAGCATGTCCACTAAACAATAATGCATGCCACTGTCATCTTAACTGAACACCACTACAATGTGCAAATTGTACCTATTTCCAATAAGAAAGCATATGCCAATCAGAATGTAATGTAGTGTTTGTTGTAGATGTCCTTATAGCGTGGCTAACGTTGAATACTTCCCATGTTTGGTTGTGTTTTAATCTCATTGCTACTCCTTTTGTTATCGTTTTTACTAACTTCTTCCCTAGAGGCTGTAAGGAATTTAATTACAGGAAACGTGCAGGTCTCCAAGACATCATTAAACATACAGCATTATTTAAATTGTTATGAAATATGTCTTGAATATAGTCATTGGAGGTCTTGTTTTCTTCATTATACATTACCAATAACATTTGTGCTCTATGGTGCAGAGTTAGTAGTACAGTAGCATGCAACCAGCTTTAATAAACACAGCCTAATGTCCTTTTTAAAAATGAATTAGCTAATGTGCCTTATTTTTACTCCCCGTTTACAGTAGGGTTTAATAACCCACATGACCTGTGATGAATCACAAATGAGATGTAACTCTTAGCAGTTCACCAATTTAAGTAATTTAAAATGTTCAGATTTACTTAAGTGAAGTCAAATGTGTTGTTGTTTTCAGGGAGGATGTTTGAAGGCAGTGCCACAACAATGCTGTCGTCTCTGGACACCGTGGCCTCCCTGAGTGATGAAACTCTACTATGGCCTGGTAGGAACATCTTCTCAGTTGTCAGAGACTCCAACATGTGCGTCAGTGTTTGAGTGACGTAGATGTGGTGGTGGTGTGAATGTGTCGCTGTGGCTTGATTTCCGTGCTTTGATTTTTGACTTCCACTCTCTCAGGTCACGAGTATGCGGAGGACAACCTACTGTTTGCGGCTGAAGTTGAGCCTCGCAATGCTGCCAGAGAAAACAAATCTCAGTGGGTGCTGCAGCAGCGGGGCCAGAAGCTGTGCACGGTGAGAATGATATACTGCCGTTGTTATGCCTCTGCAGCACGCCGTCCCAGAGAGGATTCATGCAGTCCTGCACGTGGGAGGGAAAGGGTTTATCACCTGCCTACAGTGTATGTGTTGTCGGTGCCGGAGCGCTCCTCCTCCAGGCTCTCAGTGGAGCCTCCTCTGTGATGCAGTCTGTAGCAGAGCAAAGGTTTACTGTGGAGTGAAGTGGCTATCCACAATTTAGATGTGTTTTTATCTGCCATATTATACAGCATGGCGCTGGAGGCAGTTTCACACGCTTGTAATGATAAGCCTTCTTTTTTTAATTTTATTTTTTACAACAGACCTTTTGCTTGTCAGCAGGAAAAGCACAGGTGTTGCTGATAACATTAACGATGGCTTCAAGTGTCCCAGTAAGCTGTGATAGCCGGACAGTGAGTGAGCGTGCACAGTACCAGGACCCCGAAACTGAAGCAGCTTAGCGGAAGTCAGCCATCATTAATTTTAGTGGTTGGCCCCGTGCTTTCCTCCACAGTGACACGCAACAACAAATTAGCAACTCTAGTGGTGCGTCTGGCTTGCTGTGACACTACCTCAGCCTCGGCACTGCTGCTTTTACTGGATATCCATTAGCTGCTATTTGTTTTGTGGATGGGGAAGGAGAGCTTCACGTTAAACAGAATGATCGCAGAGATCCTCATTAACACTTGAACTCTTTGTTTGAGCCGCTTTGAACTCGTGTGATCCAGGGTTTCATCAACTGGATTGGCTATTTCTGTGGATTATGCTCAACTAGTACTACGTTTGGAACGTGTGCCTGTTGGGAGCCGGCCGATTTGCTTGGCTCCCCCCCCCCCGCCGCCGCTCAACAGAGAACGTGCACCATCTTCAACACTGCTTGTCTTTGGGTCCATAGCAAAACACCCGTCAAGTGTGAAATAGATCGGGTGAACTGTTTCCGAGATTTTTGACACACTGTAGAACACACTAGTGCGCACACACACACACACACACACACACACACACGTGTACAGACATACAGAGATTCCTTGCTTTACTGTTAGATGATGCTGCTACAGAGCCGCCTATTGGAAAATGTGAGATTTGTTTGTAATACAAGCCCCGCCCACAGAAATGCAGCAAACACTGAAGGCCATCTAAACTGCATGAATCTGACAAAGAAACATTTTACGACTTGGTTCAAAGAAGTTTTGTGCCAAATTTGGTGACAATTGCTCCAAATGTGTAGGATAAGCAGTGAAACAACAGATTAGGGCACAATTCTAAATGGCTACCAAGACACAACTGGTTATGCCTTATATGGATATTATTATTTAATATATTGATATCGTTAATTAAGTCTATTGTAATATATTTCTGAGAGTAATGGTTCAGACGTTACAGTTGTTCTAGCACCACCATCAGAAGAAAGTGCACCAACTTCGACACTGCTGATCCTTGAGCAATGAATCGGCCAAGTGGAGAGTAAATCTGATGAACAGCTGATGTAAGCAAAGGACATACCCACAGACAGACAGGCAGAGATTATTTGCTTTATAGTTAGATTAAATGCATGAAATGGAAAGATAAAAGGTGATTTATTGTTCATGAGGGGGCAGAAATGCAAAGCCGTGCTGGTTTAAGTCGGCAGTGATCACTTGTCGCCCACAATTGTGTTCCTCAAATGAACGATTGTCGTGTGAATTAGTGTGGCTGCTTTAGAGAGACTGTGCACATAAACTTCGTGGAGGGCTGCTTGTTTTTTGACATGCTCTTCATTCTCAGAGTCCCTCCACTATCGGAGAGGAGAGGCAGTACAACCCTTTCCTGCGCAGCCACTCTGCGGAGCTCCATCTGGCCCTGGGCGTCCAGCAGTTCCAGGATGAAGACTGGACCCAGTTCAGAGCTCGGGTGCTGGAGGCGCTGCGTAAACGCAAGGACCTCTTCAACAGGAGATAGTATTTTAATAAAATGACCAGCTTAATAATGGCCAACAGAGGAAGGAAGCTCACCGGTTCTGGAAAGTGGTACGTTGTAAAGTAACAATGAGCGGAGCTACGAGGTACTGAATGAAAGTGTGTTCAAGGAAACCAGTTTTGTCAATTCAAAAGGGCATTAAGTCATTTTTGACCTTTATCAACGTGTATCGGAGACCACTAGGAACGAAGTCACAACTTCATGTTTACATGATACTAATCAATACGCCTATTACTTCTACACATGTATAATGAGTTTATTTTGTGTTTATAGACAGAACTGAATCATTCCTCTTTAACATAGACACATTAACAAATGTAGATTTGCATGAGTAGCTTTTTCTTTTATTGTCATTTTAAAGCAGATTTCTGATTGTGGTGAGTGAGACAGAAGAACAGCAGGTCTGCACACTACACAGGTTACTGTAACATGTAAGGTACTCAATGCATTGCTTTAAAATAAAAGCAGACTGCATAAACGGTTTTAATAACCTTACATGAAAATCTTTGATAAGCTGGTTTCACATTTACAGTGTTGCTGAAGAGTGATTATGTTCTCTGTGGAAGTTGTGATTTTTGGACTTGAGTATTTAATTGTGAATATTTTATTTTGTTGTATTTTCAACAGTGATGGTACAAATCACAGACACTCGTTGCTGTCGGTACTCGCACAATGTACACTAGCCTGTCATGTGAACCTTTGCTGAATCTGGATTTGACAGGTAGCGCATTGTAATGTATGAAATAAGACTGAATTACTGTTGAAGAGATGATTTCTTGTGTTAGCCCGTAATAGAGATAATTAAACATACAGGGTGATGTTGAATCAAGCAATCTGTCGGCAAACACTATGATTTGCAATCACTTTTGTTTCAAATGTGTAATATTTAAGAGTAAGATGGTGATGGAAAGATCTTTAATTGTCTTTCTAATATGAGAATACAATGTGACAAAGACTGTGGTACTCGGAAGGAATGCTTTATAGCCAATTTGAAAACTTTGGAAAATTGTACATATATTTTATTTTTAATATATTGAAGGATTTATTATACTGTGACGATACAATGGATGCAAATTATTTCAGTATAATAAACAATCTTCTTCCCACACACACACTTTATTATTTATGTTGTTGTTTTGTAATGGAGATGTGATGCCGCCTGTGTTTAGGTGGAGATGGGGCAGAATGCAAAGCAATAAACCTTTAAACTTGTAAGGAGCTGAACACTCTGATTCCTCCGTTGCTCCTGCAGTAGTGCGCGTATCAAAGTACCTTGTCCCCTGGTGATTGTTGACTAAAATGTTATTCTGTTTGTTTGATGCGGATTCCCATCTTATCTGCATATGTTTGAGTTATGAATACCACCACATGGGAGAGACTGTTTTACTTCAGGTTATGTTTTAATGAGGGGAAAATGAATGTAAACTCCTTCATTAGAGCTGCGTATGTGTTATTTGTTGTCTTTATCGGTGTTCAAAACTGACAGCTGGGTTATTTTCCCCCCACTGCTGTAACTTCCCTAAACTCAAACAAGAGAATAACCTACTTTATGCACATGCAAAAGATACTCTGGAAAAGAAAAAAGGTGAACTTGACTTTCTGTCGACAAAGCAGGGAAATAATGCAGAGCAACAAGCGGTAGGATTACAGACCAATGGGTCTTGGCTCCCTCTCAGGCGCTAGAGTTTAAGTCTTCTGTATAAATATGAATCTATTTATTTCAATGGTAATACTTTGAGTTTGTTCTTACCAACATTATAATGCCCTTTAAAAGTCTAAACCTGTGCTGCACTAAATACAGTCAGACGCTGACTTGCATTGGCTCACAATCTCTCAATACTTTCAGAAATGCATCATTAAAAACAACCAGAAACTGCTGCCCTAACTAACACAAACTCAATCTATCAAGAAGCTATGTGCAATCAAAGTATAATTTACTATGTGTTCTAAGTCAACAGTAGTACTATTCCCACTTTATTTTATTACTATTCCTCCATTTAGGTAGTTTTCACCAAAGACATTTTGACGTTGACAAGTAAAAGAACAGGTGTACATAATGAAATGAATGAAGGCTGAATCCAACTGAGCTGCTTTGTTTTGGAGTAATTGTTAATGTTAGTAACATCTGTGCTTCTCCAGCCATAACATATCAAAATGTCTGCTATGAAAAAGCTCTATTATGGAGGATTTATTTTGTAAATCAAACCTGATCATGACCAACAAGGCCCTCCCTGACTCAACGCTTACATCCATCCTTGAATTCATTTACATTCATCTATACATCCCTGCACAGCTTTATACTTTAATAACACACATATTTCATTGTATTCCTATATATGTTTGTTTGATTTTCAGGATTATAAAGACGAGGCTCTGACATGATATTTGGTTTATGGGAGACGATTAGAAAGCAGCAGATAATAACACTCATATTTAAGTGATATGCAGCAAAATATCAATGATTAGTCTAATAAGGAGACAGGATTATCATTAAAACTATCCAGGTGAATTTGTTAATTATTATAAAATAAAAAGCTGAATGAGATGCTGAATCTATCGTTTTTACAAGTTAAATTAATACTTGCTTTCCCTCTTTTTTTGAGCAACAATCAGACAGCAGTGTATACATGGTATAAATGGTTACTGTCTGTTGTGCACTTTCTACAATTCTACGAAAATGCCAAAGTTAAAAAAACATGTTTTGCTTACTAAAGGAAAACATGGTCTTGTTTAATTTGCTATCGATTCTTAATGTACAAATCATTCCAAGTGCATTGTAAGTGTAATTGTATGTGAAATAACCTGACAGATTAAGCAGTTCTATTCTATAATGCTTTTTTTTAAATCTAAGATTATAACAAAACATAAAGCAATCCCTTGTGTTACTGGAATGACCACTTATACATTTGAGTTATCACGTGTCACGTGATGTGTTTGTCCTATCCATACAGTGTTGGCACATACAATAATTTGACTTGGTGATTGGTGTATATAACAACCCTGTACAAAAGTATGAAGACATACCTCCACTCCGTTTCATTAACGGAGTCCGCTCCGTGTTTTTATTCTCACCCCGTAAACGTCACAAATCAGGAAGTGGATCCGGAAATACAACACACACCGAGCTGCAGGTAGTCTCCAGGCTGGACTTGTCTCTCGCAAATCACAGCGTTTCTGTCAAGATGTTGAAGGCGGTTATTCTTATCGGAGGTCCCCAGAAAGGTGAGAATACATCTCATCCTCGTCTTGTTGTCAGAGTCAGCTGTACATTGCTTAAAGCGAAGCTAGGTGGCTAATGCTAACAACACCCGGCTGAGCTTGTTTATTTCTCTGACGTGGCATAATGAGGGGATACACAAATAAAACAAGAACATTTAAGACTATAACCGTATATTTGTAAGACTGCAACACTTATTGTTAACACTATTGTCTCATTTAACTAAAGTCCATTTATCCCTCGTATCAAGTGAACGTACTCTTATTTATAAAAGGAGCTGTTTAAAGATCGTTGTGCATTTACTGTAGAAATAAGTTAAGTTAGGACACACATTTCATTCCGTACAGTTCATAAATAAATAGCTTTGTTAAACATCTGCTTGTCTATAAAGATGGACATTTCAAATACCACATTTTCTTTTTATACATAAGAGAGGACATTACGTCACTTCTAATGTACTTGGGGGTTCTTTACAGTCTTTGGGGCTCACTAGAAGTACAAATCTGCTTTGCAGGCACACGGTTCAGGCCGCTGTCCTTTGAAGTGCCCAAACCCTTGTTCCCGGTGGCCGGTGTGCCCATGCTGCAGCATCACATTGAAGCATGTACCAAGGTGAGAGTCACTGCAATGCAAAAGTCATTGTTATCAGTGTTCAATTTGAAGTTAACCAAATATAAATTACATTTAAGTTTAGTGCATCGTCCCTTGCTTTGTGATTCAGATGATTGCCCTTAATGAAATCAGTCCAATAATGCACATCTTTTGTGTTACAAGGTACCGAATATGAAGGAGATTTTGCTCATCGGCTTCTATCAGCCAAATGAAGAACTGACCAGATTCCTGGTTAATGCTCAGCAGGAGTTCAAGATTTCCATCAGGTAAACATCAGAGTCACTTAACAAGTACAGGCTTACTAGTGACTTGTATACAGATCATTTATAGCATATATGCTTCTCATATAAGGGGGGCGGTTCAGGAAAGAATAGACACCACTTGTACAGAAGTATACATTCATCCATGTATTCTTCTTTTTAAGTGAATGTTTAAAGTGGTGCTACTTTTCCTGCACTGCCACTGCTGAATGACTGCAGGTATGCTGTTCTCCCTGACTCTCCACCGCAGGTATTTGCAGGAGTATGCAGCCCTGGGCACCGGAGGGGGAATCTATCACTTCAGAGATCAGATTGTCTCCGGCAGTCCGGAGGCTTTCTTTGTCCTGAATGCTGATGTTTGCTCAGCGTTTCCGCTCGCAGAGATGCTCAGCTTCCAGAAGGAACACGGAGAACCCAACAGCCTTGTGATTCTCGGGACGACGGTGAGATTTCATTATTGACAGTTCTGACTTTCTTTAAAAAGTAAAACTCCCAAAAAGTTTTTCTTTCTGTTATTTATTTAGCTTTTTGGCAGGCTGAATATAATGAAAGCCCAGTTCTGATGTGTCCTGATCTATACTGCCGTTCTTCTCTTATCAGGCAAACAGAAAGCAATCCATGAACTACGGCTGTATTGTGGAAAACGAGCAAACACATGAGGTATTTAACACTTCCTGTTGTATTTCCCTGAATTGTCACTAATTACTATTTCACCTTGAAATAACAGCTCCTCCTCTTCTTTTTATTCAGGTCATGCATTATGTGGAAAAGCCGAGCACGTTTGTGAGCGATATAATAAACTGCGGCATATACCTCTTTAAGCCCGACATCTTCCAGCATATCGGCGCCGTCTTTCAGAAGAACCAGCAGGACATGTTGTTGTGAGTTGAATCTCTCTGTGTGTGTGTGTGTGTGTGTGTGTGTGTGTGTGTGTGGGGATGCATGTGAATTCCATTTATTCCATTTCTTTGGCTCTCTTCATTTGTCATTTTTTTCCTTCCCTTCTCCCTGCCATGATTTCTGTTTGCTCACACAATCATCAGATATCCGTACGACGGGTAAGTCGGTGCATTTAGGCGGCACGGTGTAGTAGTAGAGCACTTGGTGGATGGTGTGAGCTGTAGAAAGATGACCTGTGAGAAGGTTTGAGATTGCACAGGCTGCTTTGTGAATGTTGCCTGTGCCCTTTTTCTGTGCACTGTATTTGCCAAGTGATGCACCTCCCGTTGTGCCAGCAGCTTGTTTTAATTAATGAATAAATTAATTAATTGTGCCTTTTGGCAAATTTTGTCCTTGAAACAGGCACTACAGGCTCTTTGCCTGTCAGCGATCTGACATTGTATTGCAGAGTTAGATGAGATAATTGATGCCGCTCTCATATCTGTTTTGTAAATATAAAGCCTCAGTGGTTAGCTTAGCACAAGGATTGGGAAATAGCTAGCTTGCCTCTGTCCAAATGGTAACAAAATCCACCTACCAGGACCTTTTATAGAACACTAATTGACCCCACACCGCAGTGTAAGAACGGTGATTTTAATCCCGGCAGTTTTTGTTTGGATCAAACCACTTCACAGGTGCTCGTAGGTGGATTTTGTTACTTTTTGACAGGCCAGGCAAGCTGTGTCCAGTCTTTGTGCTACAATAAGCTAACTGTAGCTTCATATTTAATGGACAGTTATGAGTGAGTTATCAATCTACTCATCGAACTATGCCAGAAAATAAATACAATTTTCCCAAAATGTCTGAAGTCCTCGAGTAAAGACAGAATTCACTTGAATTTTGAACCATATCTTTAGGTGAAAAACACCCGTAGTCTGGTATTAGGTTTGATTTGTGGTGTTGTCTCTGTAGGGTAGCTAGCAAAGACTCATTTGCAAGCTTGCATTTGGTGAAACTTTCTGTTACACAGTTGCATGTTTTGTTGTGAATCTTTCCTTTATTAGTTAGTTGCTACACTCCCAACATTAGAGAGAGCTTCCTGTGTGATCACAGCCTGGTTATGCATGCAGACAGACGGCACCCTGGTCACTCACAGACACCATAGTTACAAATGGGATCAATAAATGGATTTTTATTTTATCACATTTTGGAAGATTTGACACATTTATTTTATTTCTTTACTTTGTTTTCAAATGTTCACTGTGGTGTAGTAGATCTACCATTGGCCACCACGAGGACACCTGAAACATATTACAAAAGGTCAAACCCCACTGTGCATAATCCACCTGCTCACATCAATAGCCCTTAAACCAAGCTGGGACCTGAATCAGCAAAATGATTGAACACATCAGAGATACTTGATAGAGATGAGATGGGTTCTGCTGCAACGTCTCGAGGGGAGCACTTTGCCTCTAACCACATCTCCTCCTTTTTGGTAAAACTTCCATGCAATCCTTTAAAATATTCTTTTCATCAATATTTAACACGCCGTTTCATCTTGGGACTCTCACAATACACGATGCCAGAGACCCTGATTAATATGGAACACACAGACTCCTCTACTTATGTTTTGGATCACTACTAGGTAATCAGCTTTGGTTTCAACCCGGCACTGACACCATCAAAGTTAGCATCATTAATGCATTTTAACTCACTCCTCTGATTTAATTCTAGGGGCTGGATTGCAGGGCAATAAATTCATGTTTTTCCTTTGGCTTTAAAGAAAACTTTAGAGTTTATGGGGCCACTGGGTGGGTCGGATAGAAATATCAAAGACTATTTGAGTACAAGTGGGGTAAAGAGAGAGCGAACACAATGTTTGGTACAAGAAAATGATGGTACAACACATTCTGTTTATTTAAATTGTTCATTTGGTAGTCGGGGAGAACGGTGAAGTTGGTCACAAAAGACATAAATGGGTTGTTGTTTGGGAACCCTTGCCTTGCAGTGGCTCATCGTCTGCTTAGTATTTAGGTTATCATTTGGTACATCAACTTGATTTATTTTTCATAAATATGTAGTGAGAAAATATAGATTTAATCACAACCCTACCCCGATAGTGGCTGGGTTTAGCACGATGTAGTGAACAGAATGAATGTTCTCAGTTTATATTTATAACCCAACTTTGTCTTGGCTTTCATTCTAACCCCTAACTTTGTGCACAAGATTGCATGTTTTTTTTTTAAATAAAGGAGGCCCCTGGCCCCGGTTTGTTGCTCCGTGCCATAAACTAACTGTCTGTCTCCTGCAGAGAGGAGCCAACCAACGGCTGGCACCGAGCAGAGGCCATCAGGCTGGAGCAGGACATTTTCACTGCCCTCGCCGCACAGGGGAAACTCTACGTGTATAAAACCCTGAGCTTCTGGAGCCAGATCAAATCTGCAGGGTGAGTGCACATGTCGTAAATACGGTCACTTTGAACAGGACACACGTTTGCCTTTGTGTCAACCTTGTAGCCTGTACAAAGGTTGGAGGAGGAGAGAGACATTGAACATGCATATAGGCCATTACCATTACCATTTAAAACATTATGCTTGAACACCAAAACCTTACAATACTGCTCTAACCCAAAAGAGACTGTGTGATAATGATAGCATAGATATCGGTGCTTTCAAAAAATAAATTTTTTTTTTTTGTGTCATCTTTTCCTAGATCTGCAATTTATGCCAGTCGGTTGTACCTCAACCAGTATCGCACAACTCATCCTGAAAGACTGGCCTCGAACAAGGAGGGAGGCCCCAGAATAAGTGGTAAGATTTATTCAACTTCTCTAGCTTTGTTCCTTTTTAATATTGGAGACAAATCTATTCATATTGTATCTCCTCTCCCTAGGTAATGTCTACATTCATCCTACAGCCAACATTGACCCCACTGCTACAGTAAGCATCCTTCCCTATTGTGTTGAGCTTTACACCATGAATCCATAGAAATGAACAGGTGTACTCTATATTACTTTTCTGCTTCCTGTATTGCTCCAGTTGGGTCCCAATGTCTCCATTGGCACTGGAGTGACTATCGGTGCCGGGGTCAGAGTTCGAGAATCCGTCATCCTTCATGGTGCAACTCTACAGGTGAGCCCCCCGTGAAACAGGACCAAACAGGACCAGCCAGGGCTTGTTGCAACACAGAAATGATTTAAAAAAAAAAAAAACATTTTCAACCTATTATTCAAGGTTTTGTTAAATACAAGCAGCCGTTGCTGTAAACATCAAGTCTCTCTCACAGAGTAACCTTCAAGTTTGGAATTAAACTGGAGCTGAAACTGAGTGAGCCGAAATGCAAATGTATCTGCCCATTCAGTGCCGGTGACATCCTAACATTTTATTAGAAACATTATCCACACTTCAACAGTGACAGTGTCTAGAATTTATCTTTATGCTCTTCTGTCACACCAGAAATATGATCTGCCTGTGCCTCTCACAAAGATGTCATTTTTAACGATTTGGGGCATAATTTAATCCCATGTCTCCAGTGATCACTGGGTGCCTCTAAAAGAGAAGTTAGACTGTGGGTGACTTATTGGCTTTCATTGCATACTGCCTACAAGGACAATTCGTTAGTTGAACTCTACAGTACTTCAAAATAAACTACTACTTGTTTTCAATCTGAAGTTATAAGTACTTTGATTAAGTTTTTCCACTTGTAGGAATAGTATCTAGCACTGTGATGAACACAGGTGGGATCTAAATTCAGGACAGGGTGGTGGTGGTGAGAAGAGAGTTTTATTGTACCAGAGGATCAGGATGAAAGGGTGATGAATGAGAATGGGAAGCCGGTGCCAGCAGGGAGGGATATAAATGATAGAGACTGGGACCGGCGTGACCGGGGAATGAGGCAGAAGTGTGGCAAGCAGGGTTAGCCTGAAAGCTAGTAGATCTCTGGCAGGTTGGGAGGGAGACGTGCCGGCGGGTGATGATACTGAGACGTAGGAGAAACAAGGTTAGTGATGCGGAACACGAAGAAGTAAAACCGCTGGGAATATAAATCGGCCTTCAAGTGCAGCTACCACTGAGTTTGAAACAACAACCTGGCGAGGAATAGTTGAAGAACCCGGGGAGATGTGCTGCAGGCTGATGAGCTGATGAGAGGCAGGTTAGCTGACGCGGCGAGACGATGAGCTGATACGACTGTTCCACACTGCACATGCGGATACCTGAAACACCTCATTACAGTTCTCAGCTGATGAATGAATGGCTTTGAAACACTTTCAATCGGTCATGTTGTTTTTCCTGTAGGATCACTGCTGTGTTTTGAACAGCATTGTGGGATGGGACAGCACTATTGGAAAGTGGGCAAGAGTAGAAGGAACCCCAAGTGACCCGAACCCCAATGATCCCTTCGCAAAGATTGACAGCGAGACCCTCTTCAGAGAAGGAAAGCTCACACCCTCCATCACTATCCTCGGTAAGCGCGCTCTGACCTTAAATGAGACTTGCATTCCCTCAGAAGCATTTTTATATATTCATCATAATTGTACTTTTCTCATTGCACTTTTTAAAGGTTTTTTTCTAGCAGTTGTCTAAAGCGTGTATTTGCACTGCCCTTCCCAGATGTCCTCTGTCCAGACAGTAGATACAATACTAGAGCATCTTTGTCTATTATTGTTTAATAATATTAGATTTAATTAAAGGATGCTCTTCTTAGCCCACACAGCTATTTCCACTGTGGCTAAAACTAAAAGGTACCTTTTTGGGGTATCTTTGTCTTCATTCCAAACATGCATCACATCCTCCGGTTACAACTGAAATGCAATGTCTTATGTGCTCTGTACTGCACACACTAAGTACAGCCTTGCCTTTTCTCCCCAGGTTGTAACGTGACCATCCCCTCAGAGGTGATAATACTCAACTCCATCGTCCTCCCGCACAAAGACCTCAACCGTAGCTTCAAAAACCAAATTATTCTCTAGTTAATCTTCCTCACTCGGCTGTCCACTTACTGTCACCGATGAAGGATGCCGCCGGACACGCGCCGGCACTGCCTCTGAGTTACTGTATATAAGATGTCAAAAATGAAGCTACGGCGCATTCATTAAATAGTTTTTGAAAGATAGATTTTTATATATTTGTCCTCTAGCCCGTATGCATCATTGGGTGTCGGCAACATTAGTGAGAGGCTAATCACGCATGTTGATTCACCTTCAAAGCGCTGTCATGCCAGAGGTTAATATTGGGTTTTTTATTAACTTTAGCGAACTGTAAAATGACTGCAGACACTAGTGTAATATATTTGGTTGGATGTAAAAAAAGAAAAGAAAAGTTTATGGACAACCGCTCTCTGTTTTCTCAAGGGCATCCTTGACGAACTTGTTACTTCAGCGTGAGAAGAAGAATTATTAGAAAATAAAAATCCCCGTCTACTGGCTCTAGAGGTGATTATTTGTGTGGAGCTCTGATTAAAGATGTTTAGCATCTTCATTGTTGGTCTCAAAAATTGTCTACCACCAACATAAATCAGCGGGCTTGAGATTTACATTGCAATCAAGTGCTGTTGCCTTTTTTAAGATGTGAACTTAGCGGGGGGGCTTGAGACTCTGCCATATAAACAGCAACAGCAGATACTTAAATTGTGCATCCGCAATCACTGGGAGGAACTGTTCCGATTTATGGATATAGCACATTAACATTTACTTATTAAGCCCTCGAGCACTCATGATCACTTCAGCACTTTTGTTCCAATTATTGCAAAGAGGGTGTCTATTAAGGAGCGATGTAAATTGCGATACAGGAGCTGCAGCATAATATATTTTAATCAAGTCTCTTAAAAAAAACAAAACAAAAAAAAAACTAGCCTCCAGTGAATGGGGTAAAAGAAACAAGTTGATGTACACTTTTTTCATATATTGTTTATTTCAGGTCTTATATGTAGGTGCCTGTGATTCAGATGCCTTACTGGGGTCCCTCAATACAGTGTTTTCATCCTCTTGGTAGGATGATCAGAAATTGGGCTAAAACCCCCGTGCTCTTTACATGGAAGGCAATCCTAAAATTCATTAGATGAGATAGGCTTCCCACTGCTCTGCTTCTATAGTTTTTGTGATAGCTTTTCCTGTTTTTCATTGATTTCTTGATTATTAGTCTTTTCACTGGGACATGATGCACAGTGGTGCCTCGACGAGCTGAAATAAGAGATCTGACGGATAAGTAAAGTAAAATGTTGCTCATTAAAAACAACAGTACATGTGACACCTGTCTTATAGTGAGTATAAAGACACATTTACAATAGTCTTTGTAATTTGAAGTCACCAGCTGAGGAGAAATGAAAATGCAATACCTGTCTATATAGTGTTTATTACAATAAACAGTGTTGTAATATGATGTTTGGTGAATTTTTCCTTTTCAAACGTACCTTCCTTTTTAGTTTTTTAAGAAAGGCATGAGTCCAGCACGGCAAAGAATAGCTTCAAACCAGAGTAGACCACATAATAAAAGTTCAAAGCCCCATTTGTGCTGTATTTATCTGTATTTATTTTTTTCTTCTACACTTTATTTTTGTGTAAACTGGCAGTGTGTGGCAGGACACACAATCAACTCAGTAAAATGCTGCTGAGACGTAGTTCAAAGAAAATTCATGAACAGATGCAAATTGTAGGGCCCCTTGTGATACTTCTATGACTCAATCATCTCTGGCCTGTGATTTACAGACTGGGGTCACTTGCACACTGTATTCTAGGCTCTAGGGGGTAAAACTGGACAGAAATAGTCAACATCAAGGCAATATCCAAGTGTTGGAGAACATTTTCTTCGCTCACTGATAGTACAAAATGAACAGTTTGAGTCTTTAACCAGGAAAATCAGGGAGGACAGGCAAACATGATGAAGTGGTTTGGTCTATTTGAATCCTCATGACTACAGAATTACGCACACAAAACCACACAATTTGTTGAAAAGCATTTGTTAAAGGTCTGCAGGTATCCAACTGATATATATTGAAGGTGTTAACAACTACCATAATCTGACATGTCCTTGTGCCAGGAGTGTGTTTAACACGGGGGCAGTCAGTACAGTACAACAGGTCTTTTGTAAATGAAGCGTGAGGAAAGACAAAGTGTCTTTATTCGCCTCTGGAACGTCTCCAGATCCTGTTTTTAACAGGAATCTCTGGTGAGCACACACGTTCCAGTTATGAGGGGTTCTGTAATTAGAAAGGGTAACGAGGGCACAAAACTAGCCAAGGTAATTTGTAATACCAGTGCCAATTTAGTAAACTGGAGATGTCAGGGTGTAGTCAAACATACACATCAACGTGGGGTAAGTCAAAGCATGCACACATACCAGGTGAGGTGCTCCCTCACTACACATATGCTAATATCCTGTCATATGGGCAAAATTATCTTGCCCAAATATATACAATAACATGTTATTGGGATTATGTAATCAGATTACAAAAAAATAAATCAGTATAATCAACCCAGATTACATTTTGAAAAAAATCTGCACTCAGATTATAGTTTGACCAATTCTAATTGCTGAATGTATTCTACTGTATATCAAAGAGTTTTTTTATTTTCATTGAAAATTGAAGAACATGTTGAGGAGGTACTCATGCGTTACAAGAGCAAACTCCTCCAAGTGGCCTTTCATCTAAAAAACAGCATCTCACACATTGTAGAATACACAACATCTGTATCTGTGCATCTGTAGTTTGTGCCAGTGTACCTGTAAGTGTAATGTGACTTGACCAACTGTAAACAAATATTTGTGGAACTCAAATTTTTGGGTCATGTGGATCCAGCTTGTGCTACTGGTTACTGGTGAAAGATGCTGGTCGCTGAGTCTTGGAGGCTGAAGTTCCTCTGAAGACTGTGACACATTGCTTCCAAAACAAAAGGACTGGATGTATGACCTTCATATCATATTAACATAAACCTTTCTCGAGCTTCAGCATTCACCTCTTCAGGTTGCTGCTTTTTTTTTTTCACCAACCACTGAAAATATTGAGGTTACTGCTAAACTCAAAGGTTTCAGAAAGTCTCAGTGAAAATGCATGCAGACATCAGTAACTGTCGTCGCTCTTGATGATTGTTTAATATGGGTTGTCAGACAGCTCCAGTTGTGTTCTCCACTTGAGAGTGAGGTGATCTTAGAAAGCCTTAAAGGTTTTTTTAAACTGCATTATCAAAATCTTTATTCTTTTGGTGTGACATCGTAAGACTGTGAGGAGAGGCTCCTTTTGTTTCTGTAAAGCAATCCTTGACAAGGCCACAGAAAACAAAAGTCCACTTTTGCTGAGCATAACAACACACGCCTCGTTCCTCCGCTGCTCCCCTTGAATTTCTCTGTCAAGTCTTTTCTCACATTATGAAGGAAAATAGACAAGGAGAATGAGATCAAACACTATTATAGTCGTCCTACAAGATAGGAAAACAAATGCTGCTACTAAAGTGCAAGCTTTCAAAAGCACTAAAAACCAACTAGTATATGTGGGGCAACAATTGTATAGGACGGCATTCCCGAGAAAGAATGATGCATGGAATAAAAAAGACGATATCACTATCTGACAATATTATAGGAGGCCGATATTAAATCAGTGGAGTACTCTTAAATTTCAACAAACAGACGGCACCACATTTTTCCTGCCTTGGTAGCTTGTTATAATGACGCATTTTGCACACATTCCCACATGTGACCGTGAACATACAGATTATAAGGTTTGGTTTATAAAAAGCAAAGGAACCAACTGAAAGGTTAAAAACCTCCAAAACCAATGTCTGCCCATATTTACAAAATGAACAAAATAAAAACAGGTCATTGTTTTCCTCCCAGCTGCAGTGTGTGTGTGTGTGTGTGTGTGTGTGTGTGTGTGTGTGTGTGTGTGTGTGTGTGTGTGTGTGTGTGTGTTGGCCACACTGACTACGGGCAACGGTCCAGGGATGTTTCCACGTGAGCGGACAGGCGGAGGGTTTGCATGTCTGTGCACTGAGAGGATGATATCTACCAGAAGTCTAAAGGACTGACAAATGACCTGTCAAATAAAAACTGACATCTCACACTGCTGCACAAATGCATACGGTAAAGAAAAATAACGTTTTGGCTGTCATGCATCACAAAGTGAATACTAACGGTGTGCTAAACTGTGCTCTGAAACATCAAAGGGTGCCAGTTCCCCTGCTTCTCTAAGAGGTGTAAAGCTGTCGTTTTTGTTCCTCACTCAGCAGATGTGCTGTGTTCCAGAAATGTTAAGTCAGACTTTTCGACTTCTGACTTTGATAAATGCGGTGTAATGCCCCCTGAAACAGAAAACCAACGAAACGCCAAACTTGTCTCAACACAGAAGATTTTAAGTTGCATTTATGCCACAAACATGACATTCTGTCAACACTGTGCAGAAATATGTATTTGAATTTAAATAATCCTTAAAATACAAGGTAGCCTTCACTATTCAATGACTTGGCATGAATCAAATTCTGCGTCTGTGTCTATTCTTCATCCCTGAGGTGTCAGTTATATGTTCTGTCTGAAAGTGTTTGGTCTTAGTAAGAGGTAAGAGGAAACTAGTGAAGTGTATAGCTAAACACACTGTGTTATTATAACAAAGAGCAACACAAATAACTTAAATAACTCTGAATTTGTCAAAGAATAGTATCGTATTCTTTGTTTACAAGATTATGTATATTAGCCCCATCTGCTCACTTCACTGCAGGACGTTCTGTATCAAGGTTTAGCAAGATAAAGACAGCACATTTTTGCCCAAATATCGATAGTCTGACTAAACCCGCTGTCAATCATAGCACTAGATGGCAGCTTTTTTAAGTCGGTGTAGTGATTACACTGAATCTCGCTCTGACTTTGAATGGAGCATTATGTACAGCTATTGAAACACAAAGACATGAAGTTGCCATGCAGTTTGATTAAAAGCCAGTTTTCATGTTTTCTACATCCATTTGTGTTTTTGTACCTTTTCACTATATGCTTTGGTAAGTTTAATACTGAGGAGCTAAGCCAAGCTGAAATCCCCACATTGAAAACAGTCTTAGTTCCACTTCTCAGCAGAATGAACTTTCATAAACTCAACTGCTCTCTCGCTAGTCGAATGCATCTTAGCACAGGATTTAACACAAACAATAAGAGAAATCATTAAATGTGGAGCAGTACGACTGCACAAATGTGAAATTGTGTGAACTTTTTAAAATTTGAATTGCAAAAAAGGCTGTGATAAACGTGTACTGTAATGCACAACACACTGTTGTTTGTCAACCTCTGCTCCTTTTGGAACTGCTGTTGAGGGCTCCTAGGAATCTCATACAGGGACTCATAAACAGACATCTCTCGGGTTTGATACTCCCTTCCACCAAAAGACTTTACAGTAAACCAAAATAATGTCAATCAAAGTATAATCTAACAGTGAAGATTCAGATTCACATGGCAAAATGAACCTCCAACGTTGGACAGATGTTGAATTGTAGTTAGAAATTTAAATGACGTTTAAGTCAAAACCCAACTTTGGCTTTGACATCAACCTCCTACGTTGGAGAGATGATGTATTTTGGAAAACAGTGCACTTTGTCATTTCTTGCAGGTAGCAGCAAGGTTGTTCACAGGTGGCCACTGTGTTACTGTGTTACTGGTTACTGGTTTAACCAAAATAGTGGTTCAAGCAAGGGGCGCTGGAAGTAGGGGGTTAGGCCCGATTAGGCGTCTTGGCTGTTCAAGGATACATCTATGGTGAGATTCCAGCAAGATGGTCTCCAGCTCAAGGGTTTTCAACTGGGTGGCATCAGATCCTTTGCAAACGACACTTCTCTGTCAGGCTGTTTCCCACATTGCCCTGAAGAATTATTTTCATAGAATATGAGAAAAATTTCACAACTTCTAGTCATGTGTTTTTTAAGCTTTAAGTTTGGGCAAACATTATGTATGTGTCTTTGTGACTTTGTGACAATAATCACTGGAAACATCCCGAACTAAAATCAAAAACGACGGTTTTGCTTTTTCTTTTTTTTTTTACTTATACAAATACCTTATAACACCATTTCAAATATTTGATACACAACTTTCTGCTACCTCTATGCCATCCACAGGATCAATCATTTCCTAACTCTGAAACCTGAAAAGGAGCTGATGTTCAGTCTTAAAGCTAAAGATGTATGATAGCGCATGTTGTCATGTGAAACTAGTCAACGTAATCAAGCCATTGGTAGCAAGGGGGCTAAATAACGCATGTCACAAAGTAGGTAGCTAACATGTACATGCATTCATAACGAAAAACTGACATGTTGATTTCCCTTTGACCTCTCACCTCAACAACATAGAGAGCCCAACAACAACAGCAAAGGAGAAGAACACAACAACAAAGCAATCAGCAAGGGGCAGAGAGA